AAGTAAAAATTTATGTATTTCGGCAAAATCTGATTATGAATTATCTTTATTTATGTACGAAGAAAATAATAAAGATAAAAAAATTTTTTGATTTTTTATCATGCGGTATCATGCGCATTAATGCGCATTCATGCGCATGTTATTTTAAAATGCGCATTTTTCCCATCTCTACATTGGACAATGATAACAAGATGCACTACAAGAACCAGTATTGCTACTAGTTTTATAATACTCCCAAATTTGTTCTCTTGGCCGACCAATATTTTTGCGCTTACGATTAATAAGTTGGTCTTGCTGTTTTGTATTTATTGACATATTTTCTTCAGAATATGTGTCAGCTTGCGATGATGCATTTAAATATAAATTTATTTCTTCGATCATGTTAAAAAAAAACAAGTTTAAGATAGTGTCAGAGGAAAAATCGGTATATCAAAGAAAGAAGAAACCGTGCCTTAAAGTGATTCGTGAAGTCCAAGAACCGATCCAAAGACCCACATGCCCGAATCGCATGTGAAGATCCCGCAGGACCAATGATCAGCAAATTCGTAGTTAAACCCGAAAAGGCACTGTTGGATAATTACAGTAACCCGATTGTCAAAGATGCGGCTTAGAAATAACTATGGGTTAAATTAACTATATCCGGATTGGTTTGTGGCCGTGTCTCAACGCCATGACAAATTTTAAGGTTGTTCATTTGAGAATAACGAAGTGAAACCTTCGTTTTAATTCTTTTTCTTTCTTTTTGTTTCCTGTGTCCCCACAATTTTGTATAAAATGGGTGTAAGTTTAACATCAGGATTCGAATGATAGAAAAAACAATTAAGATTTAAATAAAAACCTTACCTTTGCATAACGTTTCACTACCGCCTCGACCGTGCCAAATCAAATCCCGCCTCCCTTTAAAGTAGTGTCACGTTACGCTGCGTCTTTTGAGTAGAGGTAACGCCTATAGTCTCCGACAATAGATTTATTATATTCGAATTCAAAGATTTTTATTATCGTTATATACTTTACAAAAAACTTACATTTTTGCGAAAGCATCAAAATATTCTAAATTTGGTGTATATGATTATAATATAGGTCGCTAAGAGGAAATTTTTATAGCAAATCGCAAATTTAGTTTCTTACTAGCACTATTAACGAGGTTTTTTGACAAACCACAAAAAATCAGTAGTTTATTCAAAAAACCTCGTTAATAGTGCTAGTAAGAAACCAAATTTGTGATTTACTATGAAAATTTCCTCTTAGCGACCTTATTATTAATCATTTACATCGCAAAAATGTAAGATTTTAGGCAAAGTATTCAAGTTCAAAACAATAACAAAATTAAAATTAATTAAACTTTTTATTATGACATCCTAGCTTTACATAATTTAGAATTTATAATGCAAAATTTAATTATGCTATTGTTACGGTAGCAATAAGGGAGATGTTGTGTTTAAACCGGTTTATGGGCTGAGAATTGAAATTTCATATTTTTTTTTATGTTTATTTGTTTATTTTTTTTAAACATTACCATTTTTATATACGATCCCTTGTATTAGCATTGAATAATCTAAGATCCGGCGCAGTAATTATGAAGCTTAAGCTTCACTTACCATTTTGAGCGGGAACTGGAGCATCTGTATTGAAGCTTAAGCCTCACTTACCATTTTGGGTGAGAATTGAAGCGAAGGGATTAAAGCTGAAGCATCGCGAACTAATTGATTAGAAAGGGGGTTTTACGGATAGTAAAAACGAATTTTGTAGTCATAGTTAAGCAAAATGTATATAAAGAGCTGAATGTTTCGCTTTAATAAAGTTCTTCAGACTTCGATGTCTTGAATATAAGAAAAATATTAGGAATCGACTTCTCAAGTGTTTTGTTTTAAAAGTTTATTGAACGAATAATTGTCTTTTATTTTGTTTCTTTTTTAAATTTAATTAAAATTTAATTAAATACTATCTTACTTCGTTACTTACCCGATACCTTTAAACCCCGAACCACATAACTAACCCGTACCCCAATTAAATTGATCAGTAACACATTTGTTACATTGATTAATCCGATCCTTAATAAATTGATCAATAACGCCACAATTAAATATATCACCCCGGTATTAATCAGTTAACCGACCCCTTTAATAGGTAATACCCTACATAGTAGAGTATGTTGATTCAATTAAATAACATATTAAAATTTATTTGCTAAATATTGTCTAATGAATGTACTACTCAGTAATATAATATCAATTAGTTGAGTAACATGTGTATATTTTTTTTACTGAGTAATTACTTTATATCTACCATTGAGATAGCTTGTTCACGTGATATACAAAATTATTCAAAGATCATTAATTACGCAATTAATAAAAAAAACAATGTTAATAATATAATTAATCTCTATAATTAATTGATGAGAATAATTAAGTAATATTAGCGTAACCAAGTCAAAAGTCATTAGGGTTAGCGAAAGTACTATGATACAATAAATACTAAAGATATTTTTCATAAAATATTATTATTTAATTATCAAGAATTCGATTTTACACTTTATTAAGCTATGATCGAAAATACATTTTTTTATAAACAATCTAATCAAATTCTAATTTAAATTAACATAATTTAAACATTAATTTAAATGGCTATTTATTCAGTTCCTAATTCTTTTTTTAACTTAATTATCTCAAGCTTTTCACGCTCTAAACGAACTTTACGTTCTTCTAACTCTAATTCTCTTTCTTTTAAAATTAATTGCTTCTCTTGAATTTCAAGATTATTTGTTGAATCAACATCGACTTTTAATTTCTTTGGTGCCTTTGTTGGTTTATTAATATGACGTTTTGTTTTTTGAGATTTGCGAACTATAAAATATATGTTTTTTTTAGTTAAATTTAAATATATAATATATAGATATAAAATCTGATAGTATTTATATTAATAAATAAACCTGATCATTTAATCGCTTGTTTTTCACGTGTCAATACACTATGATTTCTTCCCGATTTGCTAACTCCATATATATTTTGAATGTTACATGTAATAAAGTGTCGTTCATCATAATTTTTCACTCTAATAATTTAAACTTATAAATAAAATTATTTAATAATTATAATTTAAATTTAAGAAAAAGATAATTAATTACTTAAGAATTGCGTTTTCTAAAGAAAGAGCTTTGCCATCATGATTTATATTAGCATGGCTTGCATCTGCAACATTCGTATTATCAGGAGCTTTAAACCATATTTCTGAATCCATAAATGAAAATAATGGATTCAAGGAAGCTTTTACCCATAAAGTGTTATAAAAAGAAATCCATTCTAAAATTCAATTAATAATTTAATTTATATATAATATAATATAGGATATATAAAAATTTAGAATTACCATTAATATTAGATTCATTTGAAGCTTTTAGTTCTTCGAATATTTTATCAACACGTTCATGTGAAGTAGCTTCAAGTAATTCATACATAAGTTTTTTATTTTTAGAAGAGTAACTATTGTTTTTAACATTTCTATATAAAGCAAAGTAGTTAAATTAAACTAATAGTAATTGAATATATATAATAATTAATTAATACTTTACCTGCAATAATGAATTCGGCAACTTTTAAATATATGACAAAGATGTTCATCCCAAGATAAATTTTTATCAATAGAATGCAATGCTTCACCTAATCCTTTTGCCTGAGCATAATCAAGATCTCCAATAATACACTTCCAACCAGTTTTGTGAATATGATAAAATTGTGGTGATTTTTTAGTTATTTTTAATATCCAATCAAAAAGAGAACTAAACATTCGATAGTAAGCTTCACTATCAGCAATGTTCGTAAAAACTCTTGCATAAGTTAAAGCTACAAAATTAATTAAATTAATAAAATTAATAATAATTTAAATTTTAAATTTAAAAAAATTTAACTTACTTAATTTAAATTGTTCATTATAACAATTAATTTCGAACTCATTTATTTCTCCATAAACTCTTTTAAAGGATAAATCAATCTCAAAGTACTCTAAATCAATCCATGCTTTAGCTTGTAATTCAGACATACAAATAACCATTAATTGACCATTTGAAAAAATTGCTAAAATTAAATAATAAATTAATTTAATTATAAAAATAATAAATTAAATAATAACTTAATATATTATATACCTGATTGTTGTACATAATCTAAATATTTTGTATTATTCTTCCAAATATTATATGTTAAACCAAGAAGTCCTTGACCATATGGATTGTGTATTTTTTGAACTTTTGCTATAAGCCTTCTTAATTTATTAATATCGTTAAGTGATTGATGAACTTGAGATAAATGATTTACACCAAAAGTTGCTTTAATAAGATTATCTAAAAATATAAATATTTAATTAATAAAACTTAAATAATATATAATTGATATTTATATTACTTACTTGAAACAAGCTTTCGTGGTGTAATATCTATTAATTCTTCTGAAGCTTCTTTAATTATAACTTTCAATTTATCAATAATTTCAACTGGAACTTTATTAGGTGGTGGTGGTGGATGCTTATGAATTCCTTTACTAATAAGAATTACATAAGGACATTTTTTTATATCATATGGTATAATTTTGTAGTATTTTACATCACATGAATGTTTAATTATATTTCCTTCCTGAATAGTTTCATCAGAATGATGATGTAAAAATCCTAATTTAAACAATAATTATTATTATAAAATTTTTAAAAAATAATAATTTTTAGAAATAATATATATACCACATGTTTTTCTTTTAGAATTAGATGATAATACTACTGAGCATGTTGTTATTTCACTTGTAGGTTCAAACTAAAAATATTAATTTATAATTGTTAAAATAATTTTAAAAAATAAATAACAATAAAATTATATATATACTTATAGTTTCACCATTAAATAATCGTTTTAGTAAATCAATATCAATATTATTTTTTAATTTATGAAAAAAATGACTTCCACTACCATTTTTATCCCACCATCGACTACATCCAACAAACCAACTTTCAGAAGCTTGATTATCATGCTTCTTACATTTTTGTACAACAAAATTTCCTTTACAGTTATTATTATTAAAAGAACATGTTAATCCAACTATAGCAAGATACTTACTAATATAATTTGAATAAAATAATATTAATATTAATTTTATATCCTGAATTAGAACAACTCTAGATAAAAATTTAAATAAAATTAATTATAAATACTTACGTATATGTTTGCATTTCTTTGGATTTTTGATTATCTAATGCTGCATTTTCTTCTTGATAAAGATCGGTATCCATATTGACATCAAAGTGTGAAGTATTTTGAATTTTATCACATGCAAATTCACATCGCTTTATACCTTGACAAGTAGAATAATACTTATGTACATCACAATCTAAAAAAGTGTACCATACTTTTGTATTACCTCTACTACTAGGACGCCCTCTTTGATATTGCATCTAAAATAAAAATATTTTAGAAATATAAAAAATATACAGATACATAAAATTTAGTATAAACATAATATATACATTATCAAAAAAGGCATCATATGATTCCCAGGATTCTATATTAAATACAATCGCAATGCCTTGTTCAGAAGTAGGTGGATATTCTATTGGTAATGCAGAATATCTAATTTCTCCAACTCTCAAGTTTTCAGTTATTAAATTAATCAATGATGAATTATTATCGTAATCAGAGTTTGTATTATCATGATTAACTTTTATCTTAATAAAATTTTTTTAGTTTTATTATAAAATATTATAATATTATCAAATTTAATAAAATAAATAATTACTGTTTGAGTAGTAATAACTTCATAGTCATCAAAAGGTGAATATAAAGTTTGTTCAGATAAATCGATAACTGGAGTTTCTCTTTCAGATCCTTCATAGATATGTTCATAATCTTCAGTAGAATCATAATTTGCATTAGATTCATAATTATTAGAACTATCGGTATATGAATCATCACTATCAATAATTATAGGTTCCATAATAATTTGAATTAATCGAAAAATAAGAAGAAGATAATAATTTGAAATTTTTAAAAAATTTAAATTTATAACTTATATACTGATGCTGATTATTTAATGATAAATCATGCAATTCATATTTTTTTATATGATTAATATCATAAATTATTAATCATATACAAATTGTATTGCATAATATATAGTAATTAGAATTTAGAAAATTCAGAATATAATTTATTACGAATATCCAATACAAGTTTAAATTAAACAAAAAGCTTCTTTCCGATTGACAATTCTGTCAAAATAATGTTTATACGATATCAATTTGTTTTTCTAGTCAAATTCTTTAAAATTTAATATTAAAAAATCATACAAATTTCCTTGTTTGCATTAGAAATATTATAAGAAATGTTTGAATTTATATAGTTTATATATCTCAAGCCTAAGACTATTCGATCTATATTGAATTTGATTTTTGAACTTATATATATGTTTATTGCGCTTTGTAAAAAATTGTAATCTTAAAAGAATAAGAAAATTTAATTTCATAAATTTTACTAATATAAATAACAAGATTTGATATTAACTTACTCTGTAGTTAGTTAGCTTATAATAGCTAAAATTTGTTTGTTATTTGGTAAATGTTATCTAACATGAATTCTAATGTAGTTTCTTAAATAACTTTAATTCAATATATGTAGTAAAATATATATAGTATTCTTTCAATTTAAGCTATAGTGAATTTTTCTTTTTTTTAGTCCAATTACTTCATCGTAATGAATTGAACATAAAAATGTACATAATTTATAAATGTATACAAAAAATACAGTGCATGTTATGACCTAGAGAAGTTTTCTCAATTACAACACCAAGTCAGCATAAACTTGAGTTTAGGTGAGCAAAGGAGAGTTATCTAGTTGGTAGATTTCTTTTGCAAGATATATGAAATTGGGCTTTGCATTGATATCGTATAAATGATAGTTGATGCACTGAAACTTTAACATTAAAGATTCGGTAATTAGAAATAGTTGTATAACGAGTTTTTGAAGTTGTGTCTTTGTTATACGTATGTACACGTTACATGAATATGTCACGTTATACATGTAACCATATTTTGCCAAAAAGCAAATTATAATTTCTCAGTATTACTTAAGAAATTTCGATACTTTACTCAAATAATTATTAGATCATACTTAGTATCACATGATCTTACTTAATTTATTTAACAAATGTTACTGAGAAAAATTTTTAGCATTTTCGATATAAATTTACTCAGTTGATTAAAAGTACTTTACTCAGCAAGGCTATAATCCTTTAATTAATATTAATTAAAATCCATAACCCCACGTGACCATAATCGATATAAACCGATCAGATTCTTTGAAATTCGCTAATAAAAATTATCCAAGTTAACTATTGGAGTTAAACCGGCACTATTTGTATAACGCTCTCCCAAAACAATAGTAACAGTATCTTGTAATTTTAGCAATTATCATAAATAAATTATTTTTTTTTATTTATTGAAATTAATTATGTTGGCATTGCTAATCGGCATACGTTTTTATGGAATTGTACTTTTATTTCATCCAATTTAGTTAATTCTAATAATAAAATATTTTCATCATTTTGACACTTTGTAATAATTTCACTGACTTTTATCATTTTACTGATTCTTTTTATCAACATCTCTTAATTAGTTTTGTATAACATTGTGTTGTGTCCTCACTAATTATGCTTGACAAATCACAAAACCTTCGCCATTGACGAATAACAAAATCATTTCGTCAAGTAACTTCTAATTGCCGATTGACGAAATTGACGAAACCTGCAAACCATCGTATTTAGAACATAAATGCACTCTACTTTAAAATCAATATCGATATTTAAAATAAAAATAAACTCAGTGTAAGAATTAAAGTGCTTTATTTAATAAATAAATTCTACAAAATGTATTTTGCATAACATAATGTGGCATAATAAACATATGAGCCGATTTAATTAGACCTCAAAATTATCCAATCAGAATTCAAGATAACCGAACAAAATTTTGCTTAACAAAGCCAATTTACAGAAGAACGACTCTTTTACTTACTTTGGACCTATAATTAAATATATAGAAAATGATGTTATCTACGTATTTAATTATAGGTTAAAAGTAAGTTTAAAAGAACTATTTCTTAAAAATTTGCTTCCGAATCCATCCTTACATATTACCAAACCAATGGCTTAATGACAAACCAATCTATAAATACCGAACGTCTTAACAACTAGTCCTTCTACAGCTTAGCACAACTGCTTATTTTTATTGGGGTTTTATCTCGTATATGTACTAGAAAAGCTCTTTTATTGATTGTGATTTGTTGATTTTTCAATGTTAATTACTGTATTCTTCTGTGTGAAAATTTAGTTAAAAAGGGTCCAAAAAAACCAAATTTGGCCGTTATGATTTAATAAATAGGATCTTTTGAGTAAAATTGGTGGATCGTTTTCGAGTATAACAGATGGTTGTCTTGGTTGTAGGATTGATTACCATTGTCTATTATTTATTTGTAATAAACCTTCATACCACTAAATATAAAAAATAAATAAATAAATAAATAAATAAAAATAAAAAAATAAATAAAAAACAAACAAATAAATAAATAAATAAATAAAATATGAAAAAAAATTTTTTTAGTAAGTATTACGCTTTTCAAATTCGATATCAAATATTGAACACTTAATTTTCTAACACAGTATCAATTATTATTTAAAATTTAAAATTCTTTATTAATAAAACTAACATCCATTTATGTGTTCCAGTTTTTTTTTAATTTTTCTTAAAAACTATAATTATTGAATACCTCGATACTCCCAGAAGAAAAAAGCTATTGAACTCATGTCTTACTATTACACAATATCAGCAAAAGAAAAATAAATACAAGTACCTTTTATACGGTTCTTGGCGTTCTTGATTTTTTTTTTTTATCATTAAAAAAAAAGTAAAACTGATATCATGATATGTCACAAAACAATAAATGAAAGTATAAATACCAGAAACTTTGCCGCAATTTACACTTGAAAGGGAGGAGTCATCAAGTTATTTAGCATTAAGTTCGAAAAAATTTAAGGTTTATATATAAACTTGAGCTGACTATATTAGTGCTAATCGTTTTGACAAGGTTGCATCAATCTCCAGGGTTTCGTCAAGAGTTTCATCAATCGCTAAAGGTTTCGCCAGACAAAACCATGACAAAGCCTTTCGCCAAACCAAAAATAGTTTCGTCAAGCATCATTAGTCCTGGCATATTTGGCTTGTCGTGTCTGCCTTATAATAATAAACATATAGTCTATAATCGCCGATCACGGGAAAATGTTTCAATTTCTCGTGATCATAATTAACTAATACGTAAAATTAATGTATTTCGATATACTGCGCCAAAATATAAGAATTTTCAATCGCTAGAAAAAAGGTTTATTTCAAAAACTAACCGGTAATTTGCAGAGTTCAGTTTAATGTATAGTTGTTATCCGAAACCCGAAACTATATATAAAATACCGAAACTCTAACACTATACTGAAAGACTTATAAATTTAATTTTAAATTTTAAGACTTAAAGTATAGAATAATTAGATTGCATTTCAGGAACATTTTGGTTACTTTATAGTAAATGTGCATTAATTATTAACATTCTAATTTGAAGGTTTCAGAAAGGTTTCGGGTTTCGGGTCACAAGTATAGTTTAATGTATAAAGTTATTGGCTGGTTTTTTAATAAAACTTTTTTCTATAAAAGTTTTACGATTGAAAATTCTTATATTTTGGCGCAGTATATCGAAATATATTAATTTTATTGGTTAGTGATAGGCATGCGCAGGATCCGCTCGGGATCACGCGCGCAAAATGCGCGTGATTTTTAATATGTTCCCTAATTCAGGCCAGCCGGCCCGCATTAAAAAATTTTCAAGAAACCCACAAGGTAATCTCTATCCAGCGCATCACGCGCGGGATATTTGGGAAAACCTCGATTTGCCCATCACTAATGTCCCGGTTTTCCCGTGACAAGACAAGACCAGGGGCTTAGCCTGCTACAATAATCTTATTCTTTTGTTTGTTTATTTGTTTAGTTTTAGTTTATCTTACTTTATATCACCCTAATTAAGTAATTTGCCGTAGTTGATTGAAACTCGGTTTCCAGAATTACTATATCGAGTAGGAATCGGAAGGGTAATTATGAAGCTTAAGCTTCACTTACCATTTTGAGTGGAAAACGAAGCATCTATATTGAAGCTTAAGCACCACTTACCATTTCGGGTGGAAAGTGAAGCAATTGAATTGAAACTGGGCTTCACGAACTAATTAATTGAAAATGGGTTTCATGGATAATGGAAACGAATTCTCAAGTCATATTTAATTATAGTCTAGAAAACATGTATATAAGGTCCTCCATTTTTCGTTAATAAAGTTTTCCCAGACTAAATGTCTCAAATATAAAAAAGAACTAAGTTCGGATCTCCTAATAATGATTTACCTCTCTTTAACTTCCAACTATCATTGATATCATTGATATTCGAGTCCCATTTGATAAACTGAAAAGCTATTGTAACCGATCTAAGTTAACGGCTGGAGCTAAACCGCGGATATATTTGTATTGCTCTCCCAATCAGCCGTAACACTAATTATGATCATGAGAAATTGCAACATTTTCCCGTGATTGAAGATTAGACGTAGGATTTTTTTTCTAATAATATAGCGATAGATTTATGAATTAAAATCTTTAACGATTGCTAGAAGGGTGATTTTCCTAGCAAAGATACTATATAATTTTTTTTTGTATATATTCATGTTGCACTATTTTAAATAATAAATAGTTGGTGAAGAATGCCTTAATAAATTACTGTATTTTAATTTTTAATATTTTACCTATTTTCATTACGAATAAAGTTAAAAAATTTTATCCGAAAAAATGGATCTTTTTTTTCGAAGATATTATGTATTTACCTAGATACGAAATTACCTTTTATCATAGATTATTATTAATAAATACAACAATTCGAAGTTAAAACTAAATTACGTATTGGTAACTTTTAAGAACGCTAGAGTTGGAACCAGTGATCAGATAATGTAATTATCGTTAAGTGTTACGCTTAAATTATGAATTTACAATTTTTAATGTAATTAACAATCTAGTAGTATGATTGTCAAAGCTCATTTTCATGAAGCTGTGTGTATTAACATAAGGGTTGGCATATCTTGAATGTATAAAAATGTGTGTATGTCCTTAATAAAGTAACGAAGAGACTTGTTTCTCATCATAAAGTAGTTTAGAAACAATTCTTTGTCATTCATTTCGAACTATAATTGATATCTGAAACCCGATATGAGACAATATTATATTCATTTCAAGCAATCAGTCGTAACACCAAGCCGACATTCATTAAAGATATATCAATTTGATGCGTCAAGACACTTTTAAAAATTTCTGGTTCTGAACTTCTCCAAAGCAAAATGGTAATTATGATAGAAAAAATTGTTCATACTCATAATTTTCCGTGTCAGAACTTTGTTTTTTTTAAAGCTGTTTTCAAAAAGTTGTGAACAACGATTTCCATATATATGTTGGAAATCGAAATTTCTGATTAGGAAAAATTCTAGAAATCTGTAAATACTTATCACAATTTCCCATGATATACAGTAGTGGTCTATGTTCGTTCACACCTTTTTGAAAACAGCTGTATTTTAAATTTTTTTCAGAAAGATTTTAAATAAGATGGATAAATTTTATTATATTTTACAGATAATTTTACCCTTTATGATTCTATATTTATATATTTCTAAAAGTTTTCATGTGCCATGTTGCATATTTGCCGCTTAGGAATTTTCATAAAATTAAGTGTAACTTATTGGATTAAAAGAGACATTAATTTTACACCAGTATTCCTTGTAACTACGAAAACATCATAATTTTTAATAAAAAAAGATGGAAGCATTTGTATTTCCTTTTTTAATTATTTCTACTTAAAATTACATTCGATTTAACAGTATAAATATAAGTGCTTTGCGAATTTCAATGTGAATTATTTAACATATTCCAAGCAAAATAACATTACTATTCACCTAATAATAATAAATATAACATTACTATTTACCTAATAATAATAAAATATAACATTATTACTATTCACCTAATAATAATAAATATATAAAAAAAGTTGTCATGTCTAGTACACAAGATTTTTGTAAGCGAGATTCATTTCATTTAAAATTTACATAACCTATATAATGTTAATCCATCTAATTTTATTATTTAATCTTCCTAACATTTGCAATAACGATAAGTGGATTTTGTTGTGGGGAATAAATATGCTTTAGTTGGATTAGCTTCTGGATTTCTCCTTGCGGTGGCTATTTATATTTGTGGATGTTGCATTAAAGGAGGAGGGACCAATTTTTTTATTTTCAACTATATAATATTAATTTATGATTTTGGTTTTGAAATTGCTTTTTTACTAAATAATGCTCAAGATTTACCATCATTTTATATTCCAAGGTATGATGGAATTTGCTCATTGATTGTGTATTCTGCATAGTGCTAAATATTTATTATTTTTTTATTAGTTTGTTTTTTCTTGTAGTCCCAGCAGCAATTAATTTTATGTTGGGACTCATAATCTTTATTGCTGAAAGGTGCCGTGAAGCTAGGCCTAATCCTGAAAATACTCAATTCGTTGCAATAATGACTTTTTGTTCTGCTATCGATATTCAATCTTTACGATTAATTAGTTCAAAAATTTTTGGACTAGAATCTTTTTCTGTCGATTTTTCACCTATTTCTACAAAAATTATTGCTTGGATTTCTGTTGTCAATATATTTATTGAAGATATTCCACAATTTATTATTCAAGTATGCGATTTATAATCTTTTATTTAACCAGCTTTTAATATAATATTTTAATTCTTTTATTATAATTTTTCAGGTAGAATATAAAAAAGCTGTGCAAGGATTTACTTTTATTCCATTTGCGAGTCTAATATTAAGTAGCATTGTTTTAGTTTGTTCACTAGAACGCTTATTCTATGCTATAGATACAGGACCTTGTACTCCTTGTGATTGTTTTAATGGTCATAAGGATAATCCAGAAGCATCAAATGGACCAGAAGATTGGTAAAAACAACAAGAAATTCAAAATAAAATAAAATAAAAATTCAGTAAAAAGACTTTGTACGTGATTAGATTTGGATTTTTAGTATAGATAATAATTTCATTTTTAATGTAATTCCCTTTTTTTTTTCGGGTATTCTATAATAAACATAAATCGTAAACCTTCTTAAAAAATTTTTTTTATTGCCAGAAATACTAATTCATTATAATTAACAAGTTAAATTTTAATAAAATTTATGTCTCATTGTTCACTTAACTTTTATGAAAGTCATTTTAATTTAAATAAACAACTTTATTTTATTATACGAATATAAATAGTAATTAAACAAAAAATTGCTGTACTACCCTTAATTATCGTTTCGCTTAAAATAACATTATAAAAGTAACACCTTATCTATTATCAGTTATAATCGATTATCATTTATGTTCAGATTATAAGTTAGTACGGACATTAAAAAAAATAAGATACGTATAATAGTATATAGAAGCGTATGATGTACGATTGCATAAACTTTAATGATTTGTGAGCGATTAATGTTCTAGTGTATATTTTTGATAATACTGTAGTCAAAACTCACGTTGAACTTTCATAGTAAATTTATAAAATAATATTTTGCTTTCTTTAACTAAAAGTGTGAGAATTTAAACTCTAATTTTAGCGCTCTGGAATTTTACTGTGACTATAGTATTCTCGTAAGAAATCTTCTTTTTCTTAGAACAAGTTGATTTGAATTAATAAGTAAAATATAAAATAGTTAGAGCATTTTTGCAAAGAGTGTTTACTAATTTTTTTTCTTTATTAGAATTAATTTTTTTAAGTCAAAGTTATGTTTTTGAATTGAGAATCTGCTAATGCTTTTTTCCCTCAAAACTAAATGGATTAAAATTAAGATTTAAAGATGTCAAAGTTGTGTTTTTGTAAAGAGCATTAGCTAATGCTTTTCTATCTTCAGGATCAAGTTGATTAGAATTAAGATCTAAAGTAATCAGAGTAGTGTTTTTGCAAAGAGCTTAAGAAGAACATTTAATCGCTTATCACTGAATTATAATATATTTTCACTATTTAATGTCTTATTAGATAGATTAAAAATGGTTATATCATTGATAAAAGAATTATCTAGAAATTGTTTTTTACGTTCTAAAATAATTATAAATATAAAGCCTTAATAAGATATCTAACATAAATGATAATATGAGATTCTGAAGCAATGTCAGTACTTTTATCAACTATATTTCCTATGGCCATAGCAAAATATAACTCACTTTGTTCAACTAAAACAGATATAGAAGAAAGTAATTTATATAAAGAAAAATTGTTTTTATATATAATTAAGTCATTTTTAGAAATTAAATATGGATATAGCTAAGATAGGTTAATGGTTAAAATTTATTTAATAGAATATTATATTTGGCAATATAGTAAATAATTTTTATTAAACTTATAATATATTCAGATAGTATATTCAAAATTTTATTTTTTTGTACAAATTAATATGATCTTTAGTTTGTTTATATGTTTTTATCACATGAATTTAAAATTTGTAGAACTATATATTATAATAAATTTTTATACAGTTAACTTTCTTTATAATAAACTAACAATTTTTATATTCTATAATGAATTTTTTTCAGAAGTTTATTATAAATAGTAGAATAAGTTCATTATAAAATATTCTTTATAGAAGAGTTGTTGTAAATATATTTGCTTTATTACAAGTATAATATAAAGTACTAAATATTTGATTACTTGAAGTATCATATTCAAGCTATAGATAACTATCTTTTTAATTTTAGTAAAACTTTTTATTAATAATTAATATATTAAGATATTATTTTCAAAATATTTTATTGATATTTAGCTTAATATTTATATATACTTTTTAACTACTACAAGTTTAAATTTAATAATTAAAAAAAGTAATAAATTCTAAAATTTTTATTTGTTTATCTATTGCTATTGTTAACTATTAATATAATAATAGTGTAGGTTTAGGTTGCAGATAAATTAGTCTGAGTTTCAAATCTTGTTATATAGTTTATAATTATACTTTGTATTATATAATATATAAAAGTTTCTTTTGTTAAATTATTAATAAAGATAAAACTATAGTTTTATCTTAGCTTTGCTTAAAAAAAAATTATTATAATAATAGATTTTATTATTATTATTATTTTTTTAACAAAGCTTAATACTGATTAATTTTTATTAAATTATTTATAAATTTATATTAGTTAGTAAGAATATAATTGATCATATATACAACTTTAATCATTATCTATTTAAAGGTTCTGCTATTGAGATTATCTACTAACTGCTATATCTAATATCTATTTATAAATATTCTATTTAAAGTTTTTAGTAATCTAATTTTATTCTTAAATCTGTACAATTTTATACTACCTTATTAAGGACTACTCAGACTGACTTGTACTTTAGTTTCTTCTAGTAGAAAGAGTTTTATTTCAAGGTATTCTATTAGTCTTATTTAGAAAAAGCTTGTAGAATACTCTAACTATACTATATTATATCTTATTTTAAGCTAGAATATACTTTTATAGATATTCATACAAACCTAGTTTCTGCTATAGTTTTTTATCAAATTAGTTTTCTATACTTCTGAATATTTTACAAAAACAAATTCTTTCAAATCTAATTAATTACTAAGCTAAATTAGTAGTACTATTTCTTTGTTTAATGAACTTATTCATATCTACTTAATTTGTATTCTTAATATACAGACTTTTTTTTTAAATTAAGTATTGACTAATATAATAATCAAAATCTGTACTACTTTATCTAATTTAAAATTTTTACTATATAGATTTTTAGCTTGTAAATTATATTAAAATTTATTTATGCAATATTATATCATATTAATACTGATATAATATGATTTATAGAGTTATAACTTCTAGAAAAAAACAGAGTTTACTATAAATTAGATACAAAAGTTCAAATAATTATTCAAATTTATCAACAGCAAAATTTAAACTCTAGATCTTTTATATAGTAGTCTAGTAATTTAACTACAGTACTAAAATTACTAAATCTAATAATAGGTTCTAATTTGTTAGATCAAAAATAATATTTCAAACAATTAGTATTAGCATTATAAATAGTTAGTATATTACTATAGTATCAAAAGCTCTAGCTATAAATTCTAAATAAAAATAATAATATAAATTTAATTAAATTATACTTTATAAAAACTCATTAAAATTGCTAAAACTTTTTTAAAAAAATAAATATTTATTATTTTAGAAAAAAATTTATATAGTTTTATATTACTATATTAGTATACTTTTTTTATTAAAGTATCTAAAAGTTAACTATATCTCTTGACTTAATAAACTTATAAATCTATAAAATTATATAATTATAATATTACTTTTATAGAACTATTTTGACTCTACTTCATTTTGTTTTTAATTATTATAGTAATAATATTTTCTAATTATTATAAATATAAATTTTATTTTTATATTTATTTAGAAATTTAATAATTTAAAATCTGATAATCTAGTATAGTAGTTAAGTTACCAGACTACTATGTAATAGATTTAGAGTTTAAATCTTATAATTAACAAATTTGAATAATTTCTCAAATCTTGTAATATGTTATAGTAAATTCTATTTATTTCTAGAGATATATTTCTAAAAATTAAATTATATCAAATTAATTTGAACTTAGAAGTATAATATAATTTTATACTATTACAAGAGTATAATTTAAGCTTTTTTAATATACTATCTATAACAAGAATATAGCTATCTAAAGATTTTAAGAAGTAGTATCAAAAAAGAAGGTATAATTCTTATTTTATTAAGAACTATACTCATCTCTAAAAAGGCAATTTATATATATTTATTATGAATAATATATTTATTAAAAATAGATATATTTAGAAAAAGATATATAAGTAGTTATTATTATATAAATATAAAAAAAAAGATCTAGGTTTTAATTATTATTAAAGGAAAGGAATAAGGAGTTGTAGTCTAAACAACTAATAGACAAAAAGAGAAATTCTACTATATTTATAACTTTCAGCAGGTATTATATAAGTATTAGCAAAGTATTATATAAGCATCTTATACAAGTATCATTTAAATATTCATATAAGTAATAGTTAAATATCACTATTAATAGTTTGATACAGTAAGAGACACAGTACTCAGTATAGTTTATTATAGTTTATTATAGTCTTTTAGTATAGTTTAGCATAGTATTAATATAGTATTTGATGCATTCTTCAGCAAAGTATTCAGCATAGCTTGGTACAGTACTTAGTATAATTCAGTATAGTTTATTATAGTATTTTCTATTTATAGCTTGTATTTTTTTCAGATATTATATAATAACTTTAGATATAATTTATATTATCATATAGCTAATATTCTTGGCTACAAAGTTACTTAAAGAAGGTCCAGTAATCTAATATAGTAGTTAGGTTGTTGGACTACTATACTATAAGTCTAGAGTTCAAATTCTACTATTGACAAATTTGAATAATTTCTCAGACTTTGTAATATGTTATAGTAAACCTTGTTCATTTCTGGGAGCATACCTCTGTAAATTGAGTTGTACTAAATCAATTGGAACTTGAAAGTAGAGCATAACATTAATAAATAATCTTGATAGAATATACAGACAGAGAACCTGCATGGTAGAAATCTCAAGTCAGTGAAGTAGTATAGCCTTCTGACAGAACTATATCAGCTAAAGTCTGATCCAAGAAGAAAACTCAATCTAATAAAAGTAGAAGGTTTTAAGATCTCTAGGCAAAAGGTAACTAGAACTAGTTGAATACTCACAGGTTCAAATTTGAAATTTTAGCAAGATTTTAGTAAGCTATCAGTAGAATATCAGATATTTTTTTAGCCAATAGCTACCAAATACTTGGCACATATTATCTACCTATCAGATAGATATTGATTTTGATAAGCCTATCAGATATCAGATACTTCTATTATAAAATATCAGATATCTGATATTTTATAATAGAAGTATCTGATATCTGATAGGTCTATTAAAATCAATATTTATCTAATAGGTAGGTGATATGTGCCAAGTATCTGGTAGCTATTAGCCAAAAAAATATCTAATATTCTACTGATAGCTTACTGAAATCTTGCTAAAATTTCAAATTTAGATCTGTGTACTTACTAAAGAATTTCATAAAAAAAAAAAAAAAAAAGTACAAGAAAAATATAGTACTATTGAGAAAATATTTAAAAAATAAAATTTCTTATTAATCAAATCTAAGATTATTCCTTTTTTACTCAATTTTTAATTTAAAATTTTTAATTTTAAATTTTTAAATTTTAAATTTTAAATTTTAAATTTTTTAATTTTTAAATTTCAAATTAAAATTAAAATTTTATTTAAGCATTCTATAGATACTTCTGTAACAGTATCTGAAGTTGATGATACAAAGCTTTGCCAAATAATTGTTACATAGATTATTAACTACTAATATCTATTTTCAATAGTAAAAGACCCTGAATTAATTGAGATCTTATAATATATAAACTCTACTATAAAATTAGTTAAGGCTGATACAATATAGAATGGAATTATGGTGCTCTATGACTTAGGAAAATAGGAATTAAAGGTAACTTTTATAGAATTTTATGAAAATGTTATTTAATAAGTTTTAAAATATATATAATAAGTTTTATAGATATTCTAAATTACTATATAAATAAAAAAAAGCTATACAATGTTATGTAATTATAAGTTTGTACATAATTATTATAAATTTATTAATATAGAAGTTTACTAAAAATTTTTTCTTTTTACTAATTAACATAATATAGATATACCTTTTCAAAATTAGTTCTAAAATATCTTTTATATCTAATCTCTAGATATCCTCTAATAATAAGGCATTTATTTCTACTACTACCTATTATATTGATGAATATTGAACTTTTAAAGAAATAATTATTGATTTTGGTTTGATAAGTAGAAGATATGATAGCTTAAACATTGCTAATAGGTTCTATCAGATACTAGAAAATTATAATATTAAATTAAAGGTACTTATCTTATGCTTAATAAGAGTACTGCAAAAAGAAAATCTAGAAGTAGATATTTAAGTTATCATTGTAGCAGACTTATTATATTATATTATAATATGATAAGTCTGCTACAGTGATAATCTAAATATCTACTTCTAGGTTTTTCTTCTATAGAGTTTTGGCCTTAAAAATGATCTTATGAATATAGTAATAACTAACTTTTTTTTGTAGCTTCTTGCTATCACCTTAGATAATGCTTCAAATAATAATATTTTTGTGCAGGAATTGTTAATTAAATTAAAAGAAGAGTCAAATATTAGTTGAAATTCAGAAAGGCTTCAATTTAGATATTTCAATCATATTTTTAATTTGGCTATACAAGTAGTTCTGAATAAGATAAATGAAGATGTTAGTAAAGTATAGTTATATTTATAAAAGTAGATTATTATTTAAATTAATAAAAAAAAGTAAAAAGATTTAAAATTAAAAATAAAAAAATAAAAGATCTGAGAACTTCACTCTGCAATTCATATATTACCTCAATATGTTGAACTTCTTGAAGATACTTATAATATATGCTATATAAAATTTATCAAACCTATTTTGAATTGCTCTATCTAGTGGAACTCTATGTATAATATGATTATGAATAGATTATCTCTCAAATCAGTAAGTTATATATTCCTGATTTTTTGATATTGCCAAATTAAAGAAAGGAACTGAATATATAAAATATAAGTTTTATATTTGGTTCTATACTTTAATTTGGCAATACTTATTTTATATTCTAAATATAAACTCTTAATAAAAAAAAAACTTGTAGGTACTTAATTCTTTTACTAGTACTTATGATGATCTTTACTAGTATACTATTTTATATAGCTAGTAGGCTATTCTAGAAAATATTATTAAGTTTCTTAAACTATTTAAGGACCTTATCATCAAAATATCATCAAATTCTATAGTATTGCATTTTGAATTATCCTCTTTTTAATATTGTTATCAATCACATTGAAGATATAGCTTTAAATAAGAATACTATAAATAAATCAGGTAATATAATATATTATATCAGACTAAGTATACTATAGTAAAAATCTAAATATTTACTTATAGATTTTTATTTAGCAACACCCTTAAATATTTTATTGGTTTTTCTTTTTTTTATATTTACTAATATTATTAATAATTGTAGTAGCTTATATTGAGATTGGCTTATATTAAAGATTTGATTTATTTTATTATAAAATTTTAAAATTTTTTTAAGCTTTTTGTGTACTGTTTTTTTTAATGTTTAGTTAGACTTTAGAGTTAGAGTTATTAATAAAAGAGTATATATAGATTTTAGCAAATATTATAAATTTTAATAGAGTTCTAAAATCTTAACATAAGCTACTACAATCAGTGTTGTTATATCTACTATGTCTAAAACTGTTTTAGACCATATCCAATATCCAAATGTCCAAGTGTCTAGGAGTATTCAAAGCATATTCAAGCTTTAATAATAAATAAATTTGTTTAAAAAATAGATAATTATATATTTTTTTAAATTCTGAATATTTTTTACTTAGAAAAGTATATATATTATCTTAATAAAATTGTGAATAATTTTAATTTATCTTTTTGTCCAAAAATGTCTAAAGTCATGTCTAAAGCTGTCCTATGACAACACTGACTACAATAATTAATTCATTACTAGTTTTACTGATTATTTTAGCTGCTATTATAGTAAGAAAGAAATTAGTCTAATATTATTCCAAAACAAATACAACTATAATGTTGTATATAGTACTAGATCTAAGAAGAAAGTTCTATTATTTTGTAAAAAAAGAATTTCTAGATGATGAAATTGATAGAACAAAAGTATTGTATGAGTTTTTTTTTATTTATTTTTATTTATTTATTTAGTTTTTATTTATTTTAATAATTTTTTTAATTATTTAAATTATTTTTTTTAATTATTTTTATTATTATTTAATTTTTTTTAATTTATGTATAATAAATTTGCTTTTTATATTAGGATGCACAATTTTTTTAAAACTGAATATGTAGCATTCTCTA